CCTGCCCACTCCCTCCACCCTGCCAGGCCGGCTGCTAGACGCCTCCAGCATTGTGGCCCCACTTGGCAGTTGGGCAGCTCTTCCCTCGAGAGAAGAAGGGCCGCCTGGGGATCCTTTGGCCTTCATCTTGGCCCTCTTAGTCGAGGGGGGGGGACAGACGAGGACCTCGAGGGGGCGGCCCTCTCCCCGCCTCCATTGGAGCCTCACAGGTCAGGCTGGCCCAAGGTCACCCCACAAGCCTTCCTGGCAGAATGGACATCTGCACCAGCCTCTTCCCCATCCTTGGCCTGCGGCACCTGCTTGGCTTGGGGCCTGGCTGCTTGGAGGGCAGCCTCCCTGCCTCCTGCCCAGGTTGCCTGGCACAGCCCACCTTGCCAACCTGCCTCTGCACCCCTCTTTACAGAGATAAGGTGGGTGGAGACCAGCAGGGCCCTGGGGCCTACCTTACTGAAGAGTCCTTAGACTAACGCACTGATTCAGCTCTAAGACTTCATTGAAGGTTCAGAACAAGACAAGTTGCTCGGCTCGCAGGCCGCCTTACATGGGCACAGAAACCCACATCCCAAACACACCCCACTCCATATTGGCTATTTACAGTGGCCGAGAGTTCCATAGGCTCTCGGCCTGGAGCCTAGCCCCCCTATTGGTGCAGTCTAGGATCCGCAGGGTCCATTGTCCTTGACGGAGGAGTTGGCACGGAAGTCTCTCGGGGTGATCTGGGCTGATGATGGAGCAGGTACCGGTTCAGTGGGGACTGTGGTGGTGGCGGCCAGTAAAGGTTCCTCGGTCTCCGGGCCAACGGGGTCCTCCAGGTCCTCCGGCTCCAAGGGCAGCGTGCCACGACGCAGCTGGTCGATGTGACGGTGTCGAATGAGCCCGTCCTTGCTGGAGACCTCGTAGGAGCGGACCGGGCCCTTCACTCTCACCACTCTGGCTGGAATCCAGGGAGGGCCCTTGGCAAAGTTCTGAACATACACAGGGTCCTCCGGGAAGAACCCCCGTGCCGCTTCCGGCCACTCGATGTCAGGTTCCCATTCCGGGGTCCGGTCTGGATGTAGTCAGTCCAGTCTTCTTGTGAGGCGTACTTCAGGCGACAAGCCAAACATTTCTCCTTGCCCGGGTTTTTAACAGAGTATTCCATCTTTTTCGACGGTTTTATGCTCAATTTCTAGCCTGGAGGTGTTTTATGGATCCATTACTCTGCACCCAAAAAAAAGTTACGGCCACCGTTCAACATCTGGAAGCTCAGGCACCTTTACAGAGGGGACCAAGTCCACTCCTGTGGTCAGCAGCCTAATGATCACACACACACACACACACACACACACACACACACACAAGATCATTACAAATTTGTGTTGATCCACATGATCTGAACAGAGCAGGGGTGACACAAGGTTTCTCTAGGCCAGTGATGGCGAACCTTTTAGAGACCGAGTGCCCAAACTGCGACCCAAAACCCACTTATTGATCGCAAAGTGCCAACACGGCCATTTAACCTGAATCCTGAGGTTAACAACCCATACATTAAGATGATCCAAACAAAGTAAGGAAAGCAATGCCAAACGCTTTCATTTGCTTGAAATTATTTGGCAGAGAATTCGACGCTTCAATGATGGTCTGGGCCTGGCTGGGGCGATGGCACACGTGCCCACAGAGAGGGCTCTGAGGGCCACCTCTGGCACCCTTGCCATAGGTTCGCCACCACTGCTCTAGGCCCCCTGTTGTGGATGTAAGGAAGAGTCTAACATGTAGGTTGGACTTCAGGAAAGCAAATCTTGACAAACTTAAACTTATGCTGGGTAGAATCACATGGTCAGAAATACTTAAGGAGAAAGGAGTTCAAAAGGGATGGAAGTTTCTTAAAAGTGAAATACTGAAGGCACAATCAAAAACAATTCATATGAGTAGGAAAATGGGAGGAGCCTAAAGAACTCAAGGTGGCTCCATAAACAGCTTTCTAAAGACTTGAGAAGTAAAAAAGACTCATTCAGAAAGTGGAAGGATTATAACCAAGGATGAATATAAACAAATAACCAGTGCTTGTAGAGACAGAGTTAGGAAAGCTAAAGCTAGTGTTAGGAAAGCTAAATCTCAGTATGAGCTTAGGCTAGCGAGAGATGCTAAAAACAACAACAACAAAAGGTTTCTTATGTTCAAAGTAAGAAAAAGGACACGGTAGGCCCACTGCGGGGACAGGAAAATGAAATGGTAACAGGCGATGAAGAGAGGGCAGAACTGCTCAGTTCCTACTTTTCCTCCGTCTTCTCTGGTGAGGGAAAAATGGTGCTCAATATGGCAAAAACAGGGAGCTGCAGCTGAGGATTGGCATAGGGGTAATACATAAACACCTAGTTTCTTTAAATGAAACTAAGTCCTCGAGGCCAGATGAACTGCATGCAAGGGTACTAAAAAACTCATGGATGTAATTTTGAGCATCTGTTCATTATTCTTGGAGAATAGATGAGGTTCCAGTAGAATGGAGGCGGGCAAATGTTGTCCCCATCTTCAAGAAGGGGGAAAAGGAGGATCTGGGTAACTACTGACCCACCAGCTTGACGTCTATACCTGGGAAAGTTTTAGATTGAACATCAAACAGATAGTCCTCGAGCACTGAGAAAGGATGGCTGTAATTACTAAGAACCAGCATTATCTTTTTTTGAGAAAGTTACTACCTTGCTGGATCAGATTGGAGTTGCCAGGAGGGTCGCTCTCCTGGCCTTCCCTCTGTAGCCACGCATGCAGTAGTTTTGGGTGTAGTCGGCGTGGCCAACTCTGAAGCCAGCTGGAACGCCGTTCCTGTGCGTTCCTGCCCAAAAATAGCCCTGACTGCATCCAAGGGTACTAAAAGAACTGGTGGACTTCCGGTTTATGGTGACACGCTGGCGGACGTGTCTTCCGGACCTCCCGGCGATGTGATCTGCGCA